ATATATATATATATATATATATATATTATAATTAAAATTTATGCGTGCAATCACATGACACTTTATGAGATTTACAAATAATGTTGGTGCACATCATCATCACATGTTTATGTTATAATGCCTTGAAAATGGACTCTTTCAGTGTAAAATGACCTTACATAGGTGGTAACACGTGATGACTATACTCTGGAATATTTAAAATGATTTATATAAAGTTTAATGAAAAATTTGTTTCCTATAACAGTATACAATTTTTTCATTAATTGAACATATGAGTTCATTTATATTAAAAATATTACTCTTTTTATTGATTTTAATTATGGGTAGAGTAAGTTATTGGATAATTAAGATATTTATTGGATAAATAATGACTGTTGTCGTCCTATTTTTATAATAAAAATTATTTATAAAAGATATAAGAGGTACTTTAAACTGAATACAATTGTCATAATTACATTTAAAAAATTAAAATTATATTATAATGTGATTAGATAATTAATAAAGTTAATTATATTTATATGACAATATAATACAAAAAGATGGGATAGCTCTTGTATCCTTATTAAAAATAAACTTCATTAGATAAAAATATAAATAGACTCGTAATACTTAAAAGAAATTAAATATTTATCTTATCATTAATTAAAATATTAATTTGTTATGCATAAATTTAGTGAAAGGCGAAGAGAATAATTTGTCAGTAATTTTATACTTATATTTTATTTTATTTAAATTTATAAAATGCAAAAATTTAAAATAGATATTAATTTTTTATATTATATATATTTATATTAACTTTCAATATTGAAAAAGTTTCACTCACTCTCTTGTTAATGTAAAGAAATATTTCATTGACCTTTCCTAGTCACTTTTTCTCTTTCTAAATGATAATTCAGCATCACTTAGCAGAGATTCTGACAATGAAATCATAATAAAAAAACAAACTGGTAAAAACAGGAAAAACAGATAAATTAAGAATAAAATAAAAAATTTAAATAAATCGACAACACACTATATAAAAAAATATATATCTAATTTTTGGTACGTCTAATTTATACGTGTTTAGAAGTTCATGACTAATTTACACGTGTTTAGGAATTCATGACTAATTTACACGTGTTTAGGATTTCATGACAGTTGCACGGTGCTGTAGAGAAGAAGGAGATTCCATCATTGTTCTTTATTATCCCTATCTCTTCTTCCTTCTTCTATTGTTTCCTACTTTGGCAATTTTATTATTCGTCTTGATTTTATCATATTTCAAGTTTTTCATGGGGCTCCTTACATCATAAAAAGAATGACTCTAAATTTTGGAAAAGTAAAGGTTAATACATTAAATGAGACAATTTTTGAAGCTAAATTGTTGATACTTTTTACCAGGTAGAGATTTTAGAAAAGAAAGATATCATAAACTAAATAAAGATAAATATTTATTAACTCCTATATGAGACAAAAGATGAAAGATTTTGATGACAGTATCAGAATCTAAATAGCAGAAAGAAAATATGAAGTGAAGGTAACACTTTGATTAATTAACCTGAAGGGGTTTTGATCGGTTATTACAGTATTGTACAAAGAAAATTTTTACTGTGTCAAATGAATGAACTTTGCCTCAAACTGCAAAATAGTAAGAATTGATGCTTTTGCTGAGAGATTTCATGGTAAGATTCAGCAAGTATATATGAAAACTTGGATCCATTTTAACATGATACCATCCAACAGTCAATGGGAAAAAAATTAAGAAAATGAAAAATATAAGCATATATCATAATACCAAAAGGAGGAGACAAAGCCAAGCGAGTTATGTAGAATTTATTACACCAGACATGGAAAGGGACTGGAGCTAAATGAGCAATGGAACAGTGCTATTAACATGGCTAAAACGACAAAGAAGAGATCCTAATAATGTTGTGACTATCTCATTTACCCGAGTACCTTTATATCTCCCAAGACTTTCTTATATATATCTTGTTTGTCTTTTACAATAATTTAGTCTCAAAAGCATTATTTTTTCCATATAATTAATTTACCTTGAAGCTACCTCATCTTAAGTTCTAATATTTTTTATCATCATAGGGTTAGAAATTTAAAACCATTTGATGTTCCGATATAAAGCATTCAACTGCGAAATGAAGATGGTTTTAACTAGGTCCCGAACAACATGATTCATCTTTTTCAATGAAAGAAAAGGAAAAGAAAAATAAAAAAGCAATAAAAGCTAAAAGCATATGGGGCAATTTTGTGGCTCCTAGGGTTTAAACTGTCGTGTATGATGTAACTGTTTTGAAGTTTTATGATTGATTTGTTTTGCCCATGGAAACAAAAGCTGCAAGAAAAAGTCATTCCGAGAAAATGAAAGACATCACTAGCTAACTTTTTACCATCCAAAATGACAGCAACATTTACTAGATATATACATTATGCTATGAAAGAAATACTAGTATGTGTCATATTGCAAGCCATGGAGTATAATCTATACAGAATGCACTAGAAATGTGATTATTCTGTGTATTTCTTTTGCTGTTTTTGTTTTAGAGCTAAAAAATTTTAATTTGTGCCATCTAGACCTATCTGATCAGATGAGACTCAAGGAAGTATGCATGAAACTATTGAAGTTTTTCAGTAACTATTATATATTTTTTCTTTAATATAATTTCAAAAGAAATTATTCCTTGAGTTGTATCTAAGATTGTAGTTAAACATTTACATCTTGTTGTAGACTTGTCATCACTCTTAAATTTATATACATTACGACTCATACAATATATCTCTGCAATACTATTTTTTATCCATTGATGTCACATCAATATTTTTTCTTTTTTTTTATTTAAAAAAAGTGTACAAATTTGTGATATAAAATAATTTGTCTCCATTGTATAAGTGAGAAAATCCATTAGAGAAGCATAATAACAGATCCTATATTATTACTATTCTTCAGAAAAAAAAAAAAAAACAGGTGTTGTTAAAATTTTTGGAGTCTGGAGCTATGGAAGAAACCAGTTTTTAATAGTAATTTTTTGATCGCCCCCCTCGTCCGCTGTGGATTTGCAGGTCTGTCTGAGGATTGGAGTAGTCACTCTCATTCCATCAAAATGATATCATATAATTATATATTACAGATTTGGTAGTGCAGCCAAAACCTTTGCTATGTTTTGATACTTGAATGCACTGGATTTTATAAAATTCCATATTAAATGAAAACTACTTCAAATTATAACTACGTATTCAATTTCTTTTTTTCTACCCTCAAAATCTGACATGAAACGATTATAGTTCTGTAAAACTACTTAATTTTGTGACTCTAGCTGCTTTATGATTTTTCTCTTCCACAAGCCTTCACTTACCCTAATTAACATTTATAGATTTTTTTTGTTTCAAGAACTTTCACATCATTCAAGTAATCTTCATTATGTTGCAAAAAAAATGATGTAATCAAACTTAAAAATAATAACTTTTTTTCTCATGTTTCTTCATACCCGTTATACAATATTTCTGTTTATTTTTTTAAGCATGAGTTAAAAAAAATTCAGGCCAAGGTAAGTCTCTTTAATCTAAATACTCAAAATAGAAATACGTAAATTAATATTCTATTTTCTTTTTATAAGCTAATATTTATACTTGTCTTACAATTTTATTTATTTCCTTTCTTTCCATTACACAACCAATTAACTTGGTTTGGCTGTTTATTCTGAATAGTTTTCAATTTGAATATAAAAATAAAAGTGTTGCCTTGTGTTCAAAACAAATCTAGTATGTTTTAATTCTCTTTGGGGAAAGATATTCATCACCTATATATTTTATCTTATTTAATTCACCAAAAAGATATTTTTTGTTTTTTATAGCAAAATGTAGTATGTTTATGCATATTTTGGATACTCAACAATTTTTCTTATAAGATTTCCACTCATTATGTCGAATATTCAGCTCTATTATGGGGAGAAAGATATGGTTCATTATCTTGTTTGACAAGTTGTTGCATGATGTCTTGGATTATATTAATAACATTACATTTGTTGTTGTTTTTTATTTGAACCGTATTTTAGATTTGATGAATTTTAGATTGAGAATATGTTTTAGGATGAATATTATTATTATTTTTTAATACTTATTTTTTACTGTTATATCGATCTCATAGTTTTGTTTCATTTTATACTTTTGAATTGACAATGTAAGATTTTGTTTACGGGTCTTAGAGTTCCTCGTATTCGAACACTTTAATTCTTAATTTAGTTTATAATATAAATGTCTTTATTTTATTTTATTTTTCCTCAAAAACTAACCCTAATATTAGTTAAACACTTACAACAATTAAGTAGGAAGGAGTGATATTTTGCTTATAAAAAATATAACCAAGAATTATAACTTTTTTTTTCATCTCTTCGCTCTCTTAAATAAGAAACTATTCTATAATTTAAATAATAATAATAGTACTCTCATGATCATAATTAAATATTACTTAGCAATAACAATTTATACTTGGAGAGTTGCAATAAACTGAATTTTTGCAAGAATTATTGGGCAGTTGAAGAAGGTTTTCCAATATGAACTAAAAACCACTTTGTTTTCCTTTGGCGGACCCAGCATTCCCTGACTGCCGTGGGCACTACTAAAACTACTTTTTTAATCTCATTGCCATACCCTACTCTCTACTCTCTACTCTCTACTTCCTCACTTCCCTTTCTCTTACTCCTCCTTCGGATTCCAAACAACCCCTTCTCCTTCTCCCTACTCTATTTTATACAACCCCTTCCTTCAACTTTTACTGTCCTCATATACTTATATATACACCCCCATACACAGCTCAGTATCCAACCAAGGGAGGGTTTTAAGAGAGAGAGAGAGAGAGAGAATAATTAAAAGGCCTTTGCCTTCACCTTTGTTGTTGCAAGGGAGAAGGACCAGCTATTCATCTAGCTTAATCCATCTTCTACCTCCTTATTTCTCTCTTCCTTCTTCTCCTTTCACGCTCCTTGTTTCAGTTGAGAAGCTTGAGATCAGACATGTCGAGCTGCAGTATCGATGTTGCGCCTGAGCAACTCTGCTACATCCCCTGCAACTTTTGCAATATTGTTCTTGCGGTATCTTTGATTTGAAAGCTAGCTTTTATAATTTAGTCGGAGATCTGCTTTTCAGCTCTTGCATGCTACCTAATTCATTTGATATCTTCTTGTTTTCAAATGCCAAACTATTTTACAGCACGCGCACACACACACACACACATACTTGGTTGGTTTCTTTTGCCTCTTTCTTTTTCTTCTCCTGTACACATCCGAGGGCAAAAGAATTCAATCAGATCCTGAAAAGGAAGCCACCACTCTGCGTGTGTGTTTGTTTGCGCTTTTGTGAACCAGTGGGTGTGCTATTTCAATTCCCTCTTTCTGGGTTCCTAGTTTTTATTACAGTCATGTCTCCATCTCCGGACTTTTCTTTTTTCCTTTTTTTTTTTTTCTTCTTTTGCAGTCAAAGAAAAGTCATACCCTCGATTGGACCTCAAGAAGGTCACACACAAACACACATACAAATATACACACAGCGTTTTCCCTTTCTCGTTCTGAGCAAGTGCGGGTGAGGCTAATTGTGCCAACTGTGCTAGCTAGCTAGCTGTTTCGAGAAATATTGTAGTTTCCTCTTGAAAACGCCAAAATAAGCACTATATGTTAAAATTGTTGATAGGACAGGTCCTCTCCACCCTTTGATTTCCTATCTCTAACCTGTAACCTAATTTACCTCTATGGCTTATGCGAAAACTCAACTTCTGCACTACACATCCAGGTGCTTTGTAAATAGGAAACAAAAATGTAAATCTATTGAGGAATCCCAGTTTCTAACACATAAAGAAGAAACCCTGGATCGTGGTACCTTTCAACAAGTTGACAAGCTCTCTTTCTTTTTCAAGTAAAACCAAGCTGCACACTTTTTCTCAAAACCCCACTTCTCAAATTATTGTTGTTATTATCCCCTCCCCCCACTTTATTTTTTCTTTAACAGATGAAGTGATCCCAAGTATATGAAATAATTGTGATCTAGTTTTTCTTTTTCTTTTTACATTTTCCGGGTTTCTAATAAATTTTCTCCTTGTATAAAGGCAAAAAAAAAACAAGATTGAATAACATTGTGTTATGGGCACAGGTGAGTGTTCCATGCAGCAGCCTGTTTGACATTGTGACCGTTCGATGCGGGCACTGCACCAATCTATGGTCCGTGAACATGGCCGCCGCGTTTCAGTCACTGTCATGGCAAGATGTTCAGGTGAGGTGCAATATAATGACACATATATACCACGTTTCCAACTAATTAGCACTTAATTATGATGAATACTCACAAGTACTAACTTAATATAAATATAAATAAAATAGGGTCTTTGATTTCTGGATCCTAGTGTAGGGTTTGTGGGAGTTATTCTTTTTGAGAAAATCGAAGCCCCTCTGGTAGGTTCTGTGTGCTAAATCGAGTATTTCAAAGCAAGCATGTCTGTTATTTCTACCTGAGAAAGAGTACTGAAAGCCCTAGCTACCTGCAGCCGCCATAAGCAAAACCTATTCGTTTTCTTTTTTGCACTTTTAGTAGAGGCGTCAGGGCCTGTCCTAACCCATCAAGGCAACTGAAAATCTATCTCTCTCTTCAAGGCTTTTCGAGATTATATACCTTGAGGATCGATTTGATTGACATGTATCTATGTATGTATAAGTGGGTGGGAAGTGTGTTGTGTTAGCCTCAGCTAGGTTTAATGATTTCTTTTCAAGATCCTTGTCCTCTCCAAGGCAAGCACACCCCTCTGGATCAGATGACTCAATTCTCGATTTAAAAAAATGGTATCTTGGTTGGTGTAAATCCCTAAAATCTAAGCCCTTCATTTCCACAACTGTCAATCTGGGTTTTCTGTAAGTACTTCCATTCATCTGATTAGTTGCATTTCCTGTCTTACTGCTCAGTGATATTAAAGGCACTTTCGTTTCTCTCTATGAGAGGCCATCATTATTTCTTCACGTCTGAATCACAGTAAACCCACATTTGCTGCTGCCAGATACCTAGTCAGTTAATTTATTCATCCTATTTTGTTTCATGCAAACTAACTGGTCCCCGTTTGGTTTTTACATATTTAATATAAAATATTCGTTTTGATGTATAAATTTATTATTAAAATAAATTTAATCTGCAAATGTTAAACCAAAAAAAAAAGAACATATATAGAATAAAATTAACATTTAATAATTATTTTGATCTAGCTTAAAGTCGTCATGGTACGTCCACTTTACTTGTATATGGGCATGGGTAAGTTGATGCTCCAAGCTAATTAACATTTTCATTTTCAGGGACCTGGGCACTGCAACCCAGAGTACAGGATTGACACTGGCTCCACGTCCAAATGCAACAACAGGATTGCAATGCGTGCACCCACCACTCATGTCACTGAGGAAAGGGTTGTGAATAGGCGTGAGTATATATTTGGCTTTACCAAGTTTCATATTAATCACAAAATCATCATAGCCACACATATAGAGCTAGTTTCTTTAAATAAAATAAAAATAATCCACATTCTTATCTTCAATTTTCATCTGATCCTGAGTTGTTATTTTCTTTTCCAGCTCCCGAGAAGAGGCAGCGCGTACCTTCTGCTTATAATCAGTTTATAAAGTAAGTAATTCTTTACAAACAATTTTACTGCACATACAAGATGTAGTTGGTAGCATAAATTTGAAACGTCTTTGTTCCTACGCAGGGAAGAGATTCAGAGGATCAAAGCCAATAATCCTGATATCAGTCACAGAGAAGCTTTCAGTACAGCTGCAAAGAACGTAAGGACCAGATAAAAATTACTGGAAATATTTTACCCTATTTTATATATCTTCTTGATAAATATAATTACTGCGAATTGTTTCTCTTTCAGTGGGCACATTTCCCCCACATTCACTTCGGGCTGATGTTGGAGAACAACAACCAAGCTAAGATGGAGAATGTGAGTATTAAAGCAAATACTTCTCTTAATATCAATGATTCCAAGAGATATAATAATTGATCCCCCATAGTCAACATTTATTATTTCCTGTGAGCATTAGGTAATACACTAAAAAAACCTTGTTTCTTTTCCTTTTCTTTCTATTAAAAAAAATATATCACTTGGCAAAAATGAATATTACTTTTTAATATAGCATTTAGCATTTAACTGGAGGAACAGGAAAGTTAAAACCAGAAAATCTTGAAAAGATAAATAAACTAGCCAGCTCCAGAAAGAGAAAAGCTATTATAATTGACATTACTTTCAGTATTTGTTAAACCGTGATGCATATATTATATTGTATGTTTAAGGATTTGTTACAAAACTTTGTGTTGATGAGATGATATTTGATTTCAGGTTTCTGAGAAGCGTTTAATGTCAAGGGCTGCGCTAATGAATAAATGAAGGGTATCTTCATGATTTTATATCACAGAACTTGATCAGCTTCATGTGAGTCTGCCATGAAAACAATGTCCGACCTATAATGAGTTTTAAGGACAACTAGCTCTTTTTCTTCGTTACTGTACTCGTCACTACTTACTACTTGTTCAATGGATGTTTTTACTTAATTTCAACGCTAGTTTCCCTTGTCATCTTTCAATAAGTACTATCTTCTTCCTGTTTGAGATCAAGGATAAAATATATTTGCTACTGTTTTAAGCTTCATTGCGAGAACATATAATTATCATTTTCCTTTTTGGTTATACTAATAACGAGAATGAAGTCCGAACATGTTACAATATATATAATTATAAAACCCTTTATTTGGAGCAAAATAAATCATATACTTTTGTCGTAAGAAAAATATTGAAGAAAAGATATTGACATCTGGTTTTGTTTTTAAAAAATTATCAATATGATAACGAATTATAGCACATATTACCGTCTTTTGGGTTTTTCTATAAGAATAATTGAAGTTTAATGGTTTGTTGTAATTGTAAAAGCGTAGATTTGGTTTTGAACTTGTTAATTATAAAAGTTCTATTACATCATTATTTTTTTGCGAAATCTATGTTCACAATACACTCACTCATTTTCTATATTAATGGATGCAACCTTGAATGATTAGTTATTTGAACAATTATTTATTTGCATGAGACGGTTATTTGCAAGAAAAAAAAAATCCTAGCTTAGAACTCGTAAGTTGTTGTCATTAATCATAATATACGCTATCTAATCTTATGAGTAATCTCATAATAAAATCTAAATTTACGACTCGATAATTAATTAAAATGAATTTATTTACATGTGTTCTTTGTTAATAGTACTGATGCATTAGTCAAATAAAACCAAGAATTGAGCATCAAATTTCAAGTTAGTTGAGTTGTATTGGAACAAAAGATACATTAAGAACTAATTATATCATCACTTGTGCGTGTATCCCACTACATATATACAACTACTTTCACCTCTCATATAATTCTTCAAGTTTCAGTAATGGGGGTTCTACGATGATATTCAAGTCTCATACATTAACCATCCTTTCTTTGAAATGCTGAAAGTTTTCCACAGCCATTAGTGTTGTTCAGAAGCTACATATTATTTCAGAAGAAAGGGTTTGTAAAGGTAGAATATATAGTAATGAAGAAACTAAGCGCAATGGACAAAAAAAAAAAAAATCAAGTCCCGGAGATTCAACTTAAATAGGATTCGACCGTATATGTTATCATTTCATTCGTGAAGATATTAAACTCGTATAAAAAAATAACTCCAGAAATATTATAAAAACATATTTCAAATAATTTCTTCTAATCCTCTTATAAAGAAATAATTAAATATTCTTTGTGTTTTAAGCATTAAATAAGTTATTATTATTATTATATATATTGTTTTCTTTATAAAATTAGGATTAGATAATTAATAAGAAAATATTCTGCAAAATATACCACTGCTCTAACCTAACAAATCAAAGCATCTATTGGCTTTGGATTTGTTTGAATGTCAGCTGATGTCAAAAGAAAGGTGAAATACACTTTCTTTTGGTTGCCAACTTGCCATCTTGGGACAACAAATTTCCAACGTTTACGGTCTTTAAAATCCAAACAAACATACAGTCGCAAATGGGGATAGTTGGAGGAAAAAGAAAAAGCTTTTTTTCTTGTTTCTTTTTTTCTCTTCTCTAATTTATGTATGTAATGCAAACTCTTTGAATGCAAGATGTTTTATGAAATGGACGGGGGAAAGACCAAAAAAAATGTTTCTTTTTACTTTTCAAAGTAAAATATCTAAGACAAGATTTGGTCCTGTACCAAGCACACTCCAACTCATAAATTAACAAAGGCCTTTTCGGAAAGGAATTTTTGGACCACCATTTTGGCATTATGGCATCCCCATCTCAACATACAGGAATCTCCATGAAAGCACTAAAAATGAAGCAGCTACTTTTGCAGGTTGCTTCAAAAAATTGGTTATAACTTTTATTACTATTGAGTTTTGACCAGCTTGTGTGTTGTCCCATTAACAAACTACTCGCGGACAAAAGAAAAAACAGATAACACAAATTAAGATCACCATTGATGGTCTCACAAAAATCGCCAAAAACCTGTACAATAAAAGCTGTGCAAAAGTTAATTATCTCGAAGAAATTAATCCCAGTGGCGGGAGCAGACGCAGCATTCATATGTAGGATAAGTTTTACAAGCATCTTATACACACATATAGAGAGAGAGAGAGAGAGAGATTCCATGGTATATATATTAAGAAAAAGTTTGACAAGTATAGAGTTTCTTTTATAAGTTCTTGTTCTAGACCCTAGAATTATTTCAAAAAGTAAGGTTGCTTAGGTCTAGGGTTTGTGAGGGAGAGTGAAGTAAAGTAGTGTATGAGATATTGCTGTTACTGTAAGAAATGAGAACATTAGGGGGGGTGTATAAATAGTTTTAAATATGATTATAGTATTGAGACAGTATTATAGTATTAATTTATGATGGTGAGTCTGACAATGAGAATCTGAAACGTCAAAATCATGTCTGTTAAGCATTGATTTCTTTTGAATGTCATTTCATGTCTGACTTTCCAAGCCCACCACTTACTGCCATAGAGAGCCACAGCAGAAGCAGAGCCCTTCCTTTTCGCACTCGCCCTTGCCTTGAAGTTAATGCCATTTTTGTCTTCCAGTATGTTGCTACGTATCAACTTCAAACTTCACCTTCTGATACATCGCCACCCATCTTAATTCACACTCTTTAATGCTTCATGCCAATTTATTACCCTATTTAATGATTTCTAATGTACATTTAATACAAGACAAATGCTAAGGAATATAGCTATCGATAAGACAAATATTTGTGTCTACATTTCAAATGTATATAGTTTTAGTTTTTTTCTTTTCTTTTTAATTCATTCTTTTTGTTTTCAATGAAATAGTATCTTCTTTATTCTTTATTTCTTTTAAACAATATTCTTCCACGATTATGGCAAATTAAGTTTTTTTTAACGGACAAAGTCACTTTTTAAACAATTTTTACTCAAATACCGTCTCTTCTAAAAATTAAATTATTTCGAATTGTACTCAATTCGATTTTTTTTTAAGATTAAACTGTTGTGATTACGAGAAGAAGGAAGTACCGTTTTCATTTTGGGAGGAACGAAAAAAATCAACTAGTGTTTCTCTCACAATGGCTTCATTTATAGTCTTTAGAATTATAAATTAACAGGTTTTTTCACCTTTCAATAAAATGTTTATTTTTTTCTAAATAAAATTATATTAATGTTTATATTTAAGAAATTGGAGTTGTTTTAACAAAATTGTTTCAATAAGTGATATCTTTAGTTTTTTTTTTAACAAATGATATGTTTATTATTTTTATTAGTTTGTATGGAAATTTTAATCATTTTGAAAGGAAGAAATAAAACACTTCTTACGGAAATAATTTTTTTTATAATAAATAAAAATCGATACAACCATTAAAAACTCATCATAACTAGCACAAATTGATGAGCAAATTTATTTGGATTTTTTATTTTAGATTAAACATAAACTTATTGTTTTTATCTGACCTTGTGCATTTTTTTAAAATATTAAAAATTTATATAATAGTTTTTTATTTTTAGTTTTTAGTAAAGTTAAATATTATGTTTCTTAAATATTCTTAATTGTTTTTTAAAAATTTTATTGAAATCATTTCGGTCACAGTTGAATTATGGTTCGATAAATTAACTTTCAACCAATGTGTTAAGTGTAGTGATGTTAAAATAGGTGATGCAGTGCAATGTAACCTAACTCAATAAGTCGAGTAAAAATTAACGGTGTAACGTAATTTATATTTTAAAATAAATAAATAAATTTAGTCTAATTTAATTTTATATTAGATCAACAAGTTAATGAATTAATTTTAGTTAGATCGATTTTTTTTAAATATTAATATATTTGTACAAATCAAATAATTAAAAAAATATTTAAAAATATCTTTTTAAAATTTAAATTTTATTAATGTAAATAATTTTTATTTGAGATATAATGATTTAATACATAAGTTACTGGATAAATATATTCATTCAATATCAAAATAAGAATTAAAAATTTACTTTTCATTATTATTATTTATTTACTAGTAATTTATTAATTTAAAATAATAATCCATCTTAATCGTTAAATATTGAAATGAGTGGTTGTTAGATATTTACTCTAATATTTATTCTTAATTGTCAAATTAATTTATAATATATATTTTTTAATAAAATAATATTACTTTTATTTAAAAATAATTATTATTTTATAAAATGAATTTTTCCATAAATCTATAAGCTAGTTTGACCTAAACCATGTAGATCACAACCTAAATAGATGAAGCTAAAACAGATTCAATTTAGGCCACAAAATTTTGTTATAGTATAACTTATTTCTTGGACCTTTTATGTTAGCCCTGACTAAACTTATTTTGACATCATAAATGACTAAGAACAATTTGATTTTTAGAATATTAATGTAAATTTTTTTTAGTTTATTGAAATTGACAATTTTAATTTCTTATAAAAGGTTTATAATATATATAAATAAAATTTTATAAAAGATCTTAGAGTGTCTAAGGTTGTGTCGGGAGGGTCTCTTAATGCCTTCATTTTTTTCTTATCGGAGTTATTTCACAATTACTTACCATGGTAAAGAAGAACGGAGATTGAACACACTTAGAAAGCACAATACAACAAATAGTTATATGCTGCATTTGGGAAGAATGAATAATTTCCAAAAAGAAATATATTGATTATCTCTCAATTGTTTGGACTATAGATGTGATGATTTACTTCACGGACGAAGTCTCTTGTTCAAGTCCAGATGGCCCGCTAGAAAATAAAAATATTGCAAAAATATTTTAGTATAAAATATTCTTAATGGTACACGAACTAATGAAGATATACTGATGAATTATCTTATATAGGAAAAAATGGAAATGATTGTAGTAAAA